ACTTGGCAGGGGGAGGATTGTTGGGGCACGTTTTTGTAACCATACCCCAACAGAAGGCGTATGTATAATCAAATCAAATGGATACATGGCTTCCCTCCCACATAGACTTACAGACCATTTTTTTTTTGCCCAGAAACTTAGACACTTGGTGACACCAGACTTCCATGCCGAAAGCTGATGCCTGGTAAAGAAGAAGACATCCAGAGACATCCGAGCTGGAAACTGTTGTTTCATATGTACATATATTCCCCTCACCAAAAATTTAGGTAAAGGTGACCAGAAAAAAAAAAAAAGAGAAAAATGGAGAAGGAAGATCTCTAAAGACTGAAACTTATAAAATATCCTTCCAGAGAAAGGAAAGCATCACATTACAGTCCAGGTAAAAAGGGCCTGGGTCAATTTTAGCCAAGACGGGGGGGGCGATATATATACCATCCCGAGAAAAAGGGAGGATTGTATTTCAACCCATGTGGAAAGGGGGGGGGCCTGGGGTCTGAAATTTTACACTATCGCCGCAGTTGTTGCTCTCTTTAGATTTTTTTGTTTTGGTAATACTATATGTTCTATTTTGATGAGGCCTGGGGCGTCTATGAAATTGATACTGGAGCCGTTGGCCATTTTGATTGGTGTTTCTTTCGGCGAATGAAAATGGAGAGAGAGAGGATATAAAAGAAGGTTCTCTGCCAAAAGGCAGGATTCGATCGGAGTCGCTCAGTGAGAAGGACGATTTTTAGACGGGCCTGAGACGTAGAGGAGACCAGACCTTGTCGCCGCTTTCGAGAGAAGGTAAGCCCCTCGCCATTATGGTTTAGCCCCCCCCCCTTTTTTTTATTTTTCGAACAGAAGCTAATCTATTTAGATTCTGAATGGGCCCTAAAGGGCTTTAAGTGACTTAAAAGGAGTGTTAGGGTTCGTATATTTTGTCCCGCTAGAATAGATGGAGATCTAGGTTTCCCCCCCTTTTTGTGTATTAGCCAACCTAGATTTCGCATGGGCCTTAAAGGGCTATAAAGTAACTTCAGGTCACCTCTATCTAAATTTTACTATGTAAATAGCATATCTCGTCAGTATAGACATGTTCCCAAATTTTAAGATATTTTAAATAAATATCTAGAGAAATTTTCTTGTTTCCTCTGTTACCTATTTCATACATAATTTGCCTTATGGTGCTATTCCCACTGTTTAAATGAAATGTTGTATGTTTCTTACCTATTTGAAGGGAATGTTACTAATAATCAAGTCTCCCATAAATTACCGGCCACATACATTGCCGCGAGTGTCTGTGTTTCAGTGTTTTATAGATTGCCCAATTTAATAACGATTTCATGGGTTGTCTGATGAAATTGTATAATAGTGTCGCGGCTGTTTCCATCTTTAGACCATTGTTCTGACAATATTATATGCTCGATCCCTGCTTTAGCTCAACTCTTAATCAATTACAGAGTTTTCCCCCCCTTTTTTTTCTATTTATTTTATTTATCCTGTTTGCACGAATTGCATTACATGTGATGATGTAAAGACATATGCCGATAGTGCATCACTGACAGCTGTGCTGCTATTATACAACATTAAGGTCTTGCTGCGGGTTATATACATGGGGTTGTTGGCCTAAATTGCTATATATATATATACTTAAGTAAGGAAACTTTAATAAGTCACATCGTGTATTCTCCCTTTTCAATTATCCAAACCGGGAACCCATCAGGTCTATGCATTTCTTTTTAAAAAGTTGACAAAATATATATTCCCGAAATAAAATAGCATTCATTGATAATTATTTCGATAGATGGCGCAGAAATAAGACAACGATATAAATATTGTAGCAGAATATTATTATTTAACCTACAGATTTCGATTATTATCATTATATTTATTAATTTATATATTTTGTTACTTAGCATATTTCTTTTATGGCTTCTATTTTATATAATTAAGCTTGGAAACTTGTTTTGATCTAAATAAATTGCATTTTCAATCTCAAATTTTCAACATCCCTCAATTTCAACATTCCAATATTATATAATGATACAAAAGATGAATACTTGGTGGTTCACGATATAATGGTGCAAATAATTCTTTTCATTTTTCATTCCTAAAACATTTTAAAGCCTAAATTTAATTTATAATTTTAAGATATTATGTTTGAAATTATGTTAACATATGTTAATATATGTTTGAAAAATGAAAGTGGTTTTTGTGCAGTTATTTATACGAATATTCAAAATATTTTCATCTTTCTTTATGATGATGAATATGATAAGGAATTTGACCAAAATCATCGACACTAAAAATCTTTTCAGAATAGTCAACAAAAACTTTATTTTCTAAAGTGTCAATTGTTTATTTATTTCTGCATATATTAAGAAAAAAAAAACTCTCTCTCTTCAAATAATAACCCTAATTAATGCGACTTTTTATAAATACACTATAAAAAAAATAGAGATATATATATAAAGAAAAGAGATTGATTATCAAAATGAAACTTTATTGCTTGAGCGGGCATACAACAAAATGTTGTAATGTCTTAACATTTAAAAATACGACAATAATGTTTGATTGTGGGCTTGATATAACATCAATTCTTAATTTTGTTCCATTACCTTTAGTCCACAGTGCAAAGTTTACCAAGCCACCATCTTGGGTTTCAAGAGATATCAAAGATCCTCAATTAGATGATGAACTCTGCGATTACAATGGCAAACTCTTTGTGGATAGTAGCCCAGAATTTTGTCCACCAGAAAGTAATTTAGTAGATTACTCACGAGTTGATATAATTTTAATATCAAATTATCAAACGATGCTTGCTTTACCCTATATTACAGAAAACACTGGATTTTCAGGTACAGTATATGCAACAGAACCAACTTTACAAATAGGAAGGCAGTTTATGGAAGAAATGGCTACCTATTTGGAAAATACACCTAAATTAAAACAAGCAAAAAAATGGAAGCAGACGGATATTTTAAAAACACTTGCACCACCATTGTGTGAGGCCTTAAAACCTCAAACATGGAAAACTCTTTATAGTAGGAAGACATTTAATAATAGTTTATCAAAAGTGAAAATTATTGGCCATGGGGAAGATATTGATGTATTTGGTGAACTTAAAGTAACTGCCATTAGCTCAGGGTATTGCCTTGGTAGTTGTAACTGGCAAATTAAAAGTGATTTTGAAAAGATAGTTTATATCTCTGCATCTTCAACACTTACTACTCATCCTCAATCAATGGAACATTCTTTATTGAAAGGAGCTGATGTTTTAATCTTAACAAGCCTTACCCAAACTCCAACAGCAAATCCTGATACAATGTTGGGTGAACTTTGCAACAAAGCAGCCATTACTGTACGTAACGGGGGGAATGTATTGATACCTTGTTACCCGTCGGGAGTAGTGTATGATTTGTTGGAATGCTTGGCATCACAGTTGGATACCTACAATCAGAGTGCAGTTCCCATTTACTTCTTGTCGCCTGTAGCCGACCACTCTCTAGCTTACTCCAACATTCTAGCGGAATGGCTGTCTCACTCCAAACAGAACAAGGTATATATTCCTGAGGAACCCTTCCCTCATGCCCATCTGGTTAAAACAGCAAGAGTGAAACATTTCCCTGGTCTCTGTTCTGAGGCATTCAATAATGAATATAAGACGCCGTGTATTGTCTTCACTGGACATTGCTCCCTGAGGTTTGGAGATGCAGTACATCTGATGGAACTGTGGGGAAGTTCTCCTAACAATGTGGTCATCTTCACGGAGCCAGATTTCCCCTATCTGGATGCCATTGCGCCGTTCTACCCGCTGGCCATGAAGGTGTTCTACTACCCCATCGACACCAGCCTCAATTTCAGCCAGGCCAACAAGCTGATCTCGGACCATGCACCCAAACTCCTGGTCACTCCTGAGGCCTACACCTCCAGACAGTCTGAGCAGGTCCTGGAGGCCAAGTGTCCCATCCTGACCTTCAAACGCTGCGAGATACTGGAGATTCCCTTGCAGAGAAAATACGGCCTGGTGGAGGTTTACCCGGAGCTGGCTGCTGACCTGGTGCCGGTGGAGGTTCGGCCTGGAGTCTGCCTGGCCACGGTGACAGGGGAGTGCTCGGTGCAGGACAACCGCCTCTCCCTCAGCAGCACCAACAAGAGAAACAAGTTTGCCCCCAACTACGCCTGGGGCAGCCTGGATGTCTCCCAGCTGCTGTACAACCTGCACCGCGCGGGCCACACTGACGCCAAGATAGAGCAGGGGCAGTCTGGACTCATTATCCACCTGCGCAACGCAGACGTCCTCATCCAGGTGGAGGACCACTCCACCCATATAGTGTGCGAGGGCAACACCCAGGTCCGTACCAAGATCCGGGATTTCCTTCTCCAGAGCCTCAACAAGTTTTAGAACTGTTGGTGCACACAGCATCCATTCTGTAAAATGATGTGTGAGTGAATAGCCAACATGGAGATCTGTGGCTTACTATGTTGTATACTAGCAAACATTTTAAATATATATCTGCATATGGCCCAATTTATGTAAATTATCATGATAAAATTTCATATGGCTCGATCTATGTAAATTGTCACGATAAAGTTGCATATGTCCCAATCTATGCAAATTAATAAAAAAAATTGCATATGTTCTACAATATGTAAATATGTGTATAGAACTGATTGTATTCTCCTACCCATTATGTTATAATTTTTTTTTTTTAAATGTGATATTTGTAAGTTATACTAATAAAAGGTATTCCTTTCTAGTTGTGATGAACCATCATACATAGTGCCATATGTAAGTCATCTTACTGGTGAACCAAATTATGTTGCCTGGTGAAGTAAATCAGGCTTAATATCTGATACATGAGGATTGTAAAACGACACTTGAAGTTACACTGCATGAGATTTCAATGAAAAATCAAAATTTATTTCAAGGTGAAATATTGACTATTTCTAACCTTTTTGGATGAGGTATGAAAGGGTGAATTATGAAGAGTAATGATAAACGGGAAAATAAAAGTGTCCAGGGATGGGAAATGAACCGACAATGTTCCGCTTACCGGGCAGATGCCATGTCCACTAGGCTACCCTGGACGTATTTTTCCGTTCTTAAATAATACATAAAGTAACTTATAAAACAATATAATGCACTGCGGCCTGTGTCCATCCCTGGACACTTTTATTTTTCCGTTTATCATTACTCTTCATAATTCACCCTTTCATACCTCATCCAAAAAGGTTAGAAATAGTCAATATTTCATCTTGAAATAAATTTTGATTTTTCATTGAAAAGAAACTCATGCGGTGTAACTTCAAGTGTTATTTTACAATCACAGGCTGCAGTGTATTATACATGAGGATTGTACTGGCTAAAGGGAAGAAACAAATAGATATTTGTATCTTGGTAACGACAGTATAACCTTGTTAATTCAACACCTGCAATAATTCAACCATTCTTTCATGTCCTTCAGCAATTAAATAATGAATATTAATATGACCAAACAATGATTTGACAGATTTTAAAATCAAATTTTGACAACATTAGATAATTCTTGTTTAAATACAATTTTAACATGAACATTAGTGTGCCACCTGTAATAAGAAATTTAAACTATTTTTGAAGATTATATAAAAGGGCGTAACTGGATCTGTAAAGAAAAAAAAAAATTTTTTTTTCTCAAAATGTTTCGAGAGATTGCTCCCTCTTTATCAATTTATTGCACAGTGAATTAAATTTACAAATTATTGTACATCATATGAAAACAAATTTTTCATTGGTCAAAAACAATTATTGATAATAATACATAAAACATATTAATAATAATACAATAAAATGCATAGGCTATTTTTAAAGGATTAGATTTATTTAAAAGGCCCTTCCATTAAATTATCATTGCAGTAACCCACCAGCGAGTGCAAGTAACCAAACGGGGCTCTGGCACATTTGTAAATGCAAAGTCGAACTGCTTTTCACATGTGTAGACATGTGGTGCACTTACAGTAAAAAAGCAGTCGCTAACTACCCACCATGATTATCATGGCCTGTACCATGTGTACTAGGGATAAGCAAAAAAAAAAATCATTGCAGTAAGGGCATTAGAAAATTATTTTATTTTTAAAATAAACATACACATTAAAAATAGTGTAAATTTATTAAATACAATTTTATTGCTAAAAATACAAAACTTTGGCAGAGAGGCATATCAGTCATAGGTAGCCTATGCATACTGTGCTTAGAAAAGTTACAATGCATTGCAAATATCACTGCCAACGTTCAAGTTAGATTTTTGTTTCCTCATAGATGATTTAGGCCCAACTTAATCAGCTTCTAGTCACCAGTTGAGATGTCTTAGAGAGTAATGTTTTATTATTTGATATAACAAACACAAGAGGAAAGGCATGTATGTCAGATTGATCAGGTAGAATGTATAATGAATAGGACTCTAAGACTTGAAGTAAACAACTATAAAAGATTTCTTTAAAAGATATACACACAAGGTAATAAGACCAAATAAATAAATAGTGTGTGACGTTTCGGTAACAGTGTTGTTACCATCTTCAGACAAAAGTACTGAATGAGTAGATAAAAGTACATTCAGTACTTTTGTCTGAAGATGGAAACAATGCTGTTACTGAAACGTCACACACTATTTATTTCTTTGGATTAGGTCTTATCACCTTGTGTTTATAATCTATAATCCAAATTGTGCCTTATCAAAATATATACAGTTAAACCTGTCTATAGCACCCTATTTTGGTGAACCCCAAGAGGGGGCGCTATAGACAGGTTTAACTGTATTTATTTTTAAATAAAATTTTTAGCCTTTGTTTTCTAATGTGAAAAAAATAGTACAAATGTGACATTGTACTGGGATAAGGTTCATAAATTAAGAAAAGAGCATCTCCTTATCGATCAAGAATGGGTATTTGGCCAATTCTGGAATAATTAAAAATCAACGAGAATAGTTGATATTTATTCCAATAGATGGAGCAAGCCATCAGCAACTTTCAGTTGTACGATATGGAGATGCCTTTTTCTTAATTTGATTTCTAAGTTTATTCACTTTCATCCCATTGTATTTATTCACTTAGATTAAAATACTCATTTATTCTTTTGTCTGATGATAGTGACAATGCTGTTGCCGAAACGTCACACACTTAAATTATTTGGATTAGGTCTTATTTTCTAGTATTAGATTATAAAACAAGGTAATAAGACCAAATCCAAATAAATAAATAGTGTGTGACGTTTCGGTAACAATGCTGTTACCGAAACGTCACACACTATTTATTTATTTAGATTTGGTCTTATTACCTTGTTTTATAATCTACTAGCGGACGTACCCGGCTTCGCCCGAGGTTTTACCCGAGTAAAGGGTTGTCTAACGAACATTTGTTAAAACAATTCTCTATAAACTTATAAAAAAAAGATATATTTTGATAATTTGAAACTCGTAAATTTGAATATAAAGTATAGATAAAGTGAACATTTGTTCCCGGTCCCTGTGTGCTGTGTCATCCTGAATTCTGTCTTTCCTAATTTTCTACATTGCAAAATCATCGTTTAATCTAGTGAACATATTTTCCCGGTCCCTTGAAAATACTCGATAAGTTGAATAAAATCATGGTCGTTTATGGAAGATGGACGTAGTTCCCGGAGGTCACCCGCCCCCCCGCGCGCCGGGGGGGGGGGGGGAAGGGGGCTCTTGATCCCTCTGATTGGTCGGTGGGAACTTGGACTGTCCAACCAACTGGCCAGCGGGCGGCCGGGGGGGGAGGGGCAGATCTCCGTTGCAAGATGGCGGCGTTGCTTGCGAGTTAAAGCTACAAATCTGCAAATAACTCTAAGGATATTAAAGATATTCAAGAAATTATTTTTCGTAAACCTTTCCGGAGATACACCTAATAATATCCCAAAATTTCACGGCGATTGGATGTATGGTTTTTGAATCCATAGAGGACACACACACAGACACACAGACATTCAATTTTATATATATAGATAATCCAAATTGTGCCTTATCAATTGTATTAGATTAAAATAGTAATTGTAATTCTTCCTTTGTTTAAAAATATATTAATGTGGTTTTATCCATCACTAAAAGTGAAACATTCTGAAAAGGGTTGCACTAAGTTTTAACAAAAATTGCCTCTGTCTCCTTAAAAAAATGTTTTCTTTTTTTTTTTCTTTTTTATCTTCACACTGGGTGAAGTAGATTGCGTCTGCCTTTGTCATTAAGACTGGGAGCACTACTCAGTGGCAGGCCGACTTAGTTCCAAAAGAAATGGCCGCCTCTGACATGAGGAACAGACGCCATGTGCAGCCGCTCCTAACATGGAGTACAAACGCTGCTCATCCTGTATTCTTGGATTAGGAGCCCTTACAGGGTACTATCAGCCGGGCCAGCTGAACCCAGGTTTTTTAGTGAGCTTGTTACTGCTCCCCCTCCTCCTTTCTCATCCGGGCTTGGGACCGGCAAAGGCGGAGTTTAAAAAAATAAAATAAAAAAAAAAGACAACCAGCTACATCAGACTTTCCACTTCTTTAAGTTTTGTCCATGAATGTAATTCTTTTGTGTTTTAACTGTGGTTATATCACAATTACAGAATTATAACAATGATATAAGGTACAATTTGTATGGGGGTCGGTAGAAGGATAGTCTAAACCGTTGGTTTTCGACCGCTACAACCCGGGTTCGATTCCCGCATTGGGTACTTTTTTTATGTTTAAAAAAAAAAATGCTCCAATGGCCCCAGATTCTTGCAAAAGTCCAACCCCACCAGCAAGTGCAAGTAACCAAACGGGGCTCTGGCACATTTGTAAGTGCAAAGTCGAGCTGCTTTTCACATGTGTAGACATGTGATGCACTTACAGTAAAAGCAGTCGCCTACTTCTACCCACCATGATTATCATGGCCTGTACCACGTGTACTAGGGATAAGCAAAAAGAAGAAGAACAATTTGTATTATAGATTAGAACCAAAAGGTAAACAAGATCTAATTTTATTGAAATGTTTGTGATATTTTAGTAACACCATTGTTACCATCATCAGAGACAAAGTATCAAAAGTACTAAACATTTAGTAATCTGTCTGATTAAGATAACAATGATGTTACCAAAATATCAAAAACATTTCAATAATTAGGCCCGGTTTCATTTCTATGTTTATAATAATACAAGGTAATATAAGACCAAATAAATAGTGTGTAACTATGATAAGGTACAATTTAGATTATATTCTATATACAGTTACGAGCGTCATGCGTCATCTCTGTCACCGTTTGCTTTTTTTTTTGGAATGGCGCCCTCCTATTGGTTGGCTACGATCACGCCACCTTTGCCCCCCCCCCCCCCCCCCCACTCGCTTTTTCGTTTTTGTAACTATTGTGTTGAAGCGGGTCGCTCCTTAAATAAATGCATATATTAGTTAATAACTAAATGGAATCCTCTCTTTCTTTTTCCCAGTAAGAGTCGCAATATATTTGTCTATCAAATTCTTCAAGCACCTGCTTGAGGCACGTGAATTTACAATTTTAACTGATCACAAACCTTTAATTTACGCATTCAAACAAAAAAATGAGAAAGCTTCTCCTAAACAATTAAGACATCTACAATACATTTCCCAATTCACTACTGATATCAAGTACATAAAAGGTACTGACAACATAGTCGCCGATGCTCTTTCCAGAGTTGATGCTATCACAACTATCGACTATGAAGAGATCGCCAAAGAACAAACTGGCGATTCAGAACTACAAAACCTGATTTCAAAGAATACTTCTCTAAAATTTAAGCAATGCCCACTACAATCAGGCAATTTGTTATGGTGTGACGTGTCTACCAATAATATTAGACCATTCATTCCAATTAAATTCCGAAAGATGGTTTTTAGGAATTTCCACGAACTCTCACACCCAGGCATTAAAGCCACTACTAAACAATTAACGTCAAGATTTATATGGCCCAATATGAATAAAGACATTAGGAAATGGGCTCAAGCTTGTGTCAACTGCCAAAAGTGCAAGGTGTCCATACACACGAAATCAGAAATAGGCAAATATCAAGAAGTGGATGAAAGATTTAGTGTTGTCCA